TAAAATCTTAGTTCTTTATACAGAAACCCGTCCCCATGTCATTACAGGGGACTTGGGAAGCATACTTGTGTGAAAAATTCACATTAAGAAGCCTCTTTAAATATTTGAAAACTATAGATCCATATGATACAATGTTGGTCTAGGTAACTTATATATTTAGACAGTAATTACCATATTTTTGCTAAAGATGCAATCTAGGATACATTATTTAAAACACTTTATAATTATGTTGCAGTAACTACAACTGAGTGTTTCTATTTTGGACAGATTCGCTTAATTTTGACCAAATAATAGGACTTATGACTTGTATTTAACAAGTCAAGGGGCAGATAATTTCTTCTGGGGCAAAAAATTGAGAACACTTAAGGGATAGGTTTCCCTATCCATTCTGTGAGGCTTTTTCATATTGGTGTAAGTTTATCTCTTAATAAATAAATCCTAATACCAAATTCTTCTCTTTGCTTTGACAGAGAAAGATGGCAAAGCCTTTCATCCAACATATGAAGAAAAACTTAAACTTGTGGCACTACACAAGCAGGTTCTGTTGGGACCCTACAATCCGGACACTTGCCCTGAAGTTGGATTCTTTGATGTGCTGGGAAATGATAGGAGGTAGTTTGTCTCTTTCATTGGCCTATGCCTCAAACAGACAGTGAGAGAAATGCAGTTAACATAATCTTGGTTCAACAGTAGCAAAACAAATATATTGTACTGTCTGGAAATGCAAATAAGTTGGTGGAAGGGGGAGTTCTTCAGATACATGCATCTGAGTTACTAGACAAATATAAGAATAGAATTGTTTAGACTTGAAACCCAGGAATACCCAGCATCCTCTAATTCTTCACGAATCTAATGAGATTTTGGGGCATTAACTAATCAAAATAGTGACATGTTATAACAGAAGTGGCTTAGATAAATTGTATAGATCTAGCCAGTTGAAGATAATCAGTCATAACATAGAACAGAAGCAAGAGGGGGATAATACATCAAATACCTGTTTCCAGTTTATCTGAATTTTGGAATTTTCAAAGTATAATGTGAAGTTACAGCTAGGTTTAATGGTGTGTGTAGAGACTTGCTTGCAATATTTTAACAAAATCCCTTCATAAATGTTACACCATTAAAAAAGGGGATGTGCAGAAAAAAACCCTTGTAGGATAGGGAGGAAAAACAGCTATGAAGTCTTCCGATTGAAATATCATCAATTGTAAGAAGAAAAACTGTTTTCTCCAGTTAGTATGAGATAGACACACTTGGTCCCAAGTCTCTCGTGCACCATAGCTTAAAATGTGACTGTAATTTCAACCTGAGTTCCTTTTGTGTTTATTGGATTGGGAATTGACCACTAACTTGAGAAGATGGTTGTATGTTCTTCTAACATTATATGCTCTTAGGCGTATTATTTTTTGTTTCTCCCAGGAAAGAATGGGCAGCCCTTGGAAACATGTCAAAACAGGAAGCCATGGCAGAATTTGTACAGCTCCTTAATAGGTGTTGTCATCTCTTTTCAACATATGTCACCTCCCATAAAATAGAGAAAGAAGAACAAGAAAAGAAAAGGTGAGGTGGTTTTTTTTTTTTGGTGGGGGTAGTTTATGTGGAAGGGAGCTGTCTTCCTCCGTGTGCAGGCAAAGCTACAGTTCGCTTCAGTTACAGGCCCTTAGCTTTGACAGTGCTCGGCTCCCAAATTGCCTTGTACCATTCACACTCCTTAAGCCTTTTTACCATTTCAGTGATAAGTGAGTATTTGAAGGAAGAAGGTAAGAAAACTAAACCTCTCTAGAGTGCCTTAGAAGTGCCTGGCTATTATTTCTACTGACATTTGTAATATCTTTGTGAGGAACTGAGTTTGTCTAAAAATAACTTTCCAACTATCTGACACACTGAACAACTAGAATATAAAACAATGAGCAAATGCCTAAAATCTCCTATCCAACCAGTCTCCAACAGGCGGTGGGCATGGGCAGCAGCTGAAACCCCTCTTTGGGGAGGCTAGCCACCTGGGCCTCCACCCCACCTTGCTCCTTCTACACCCCCCCCATGGCCAGAGGAGCCCAGGCTGGCCGGAGCCCCACCCTGGACTGATGGCCTAGGCATCTCCCTCCACCCCTCCCCGGCCGCCAGCTTCCAAGGAGTGGGGGGGGGGGGGTGAGGAGGTTACGCAGCGTGTGGTTTTGCAAGGGATGGGGGTGGAGGTGAGGAGGGATGCGGCAGGTGGGGTGTCTCGGCAGGGACCTCCAGAGAGGGGGGTAGTGGAAGGGAGGAGGAGAGGAGGGACAGACTCTCACCGGGCAGTGGGGTCTCGGGGGGGAAAGGGCGGAGTAGGGAGCGGAAGACGCAGAGCGCAGCAGGGCCCCCCGACCTGTTGGGCAGCAGTTTTATACAGCAGCTCCTGTGTTGTTAAATAGAATCTGTAGTAGCTTCTAAGTCGTTAACAAACATAGGAGAGGGAGGAGTGGTTGTGGCTGAGCTCAAGTTTCCCGCCATTTAGCTTCAAGTTCTACCATAGTTTGCTGACAAAAGTAACTTAGTAGGTTAGAGTGATCATCAAATTATGATTCTAAATTTTACATGTGGCAAATTTGGTGACAGCTGAGTAAAGCTCAGACAATAGAGTCTTTCTTCTCCATATCTTCAGAAAGATGTTACGCCTGTCAAGTTAGAGGGGATGGGGCAATGTGTGGAATACTGAATGCCTTATCATACAAATGAAAAGGAACCCTAAGCTATGTACCCTCTACAGTGAGAGTCATGTAGACATAACCTTTGACTTTGCCGCAGATGACAAAATGGTAAAAGTAACTAAATTTAGGATTGTGGAGATGCTGAAGTGTCATTGAATGGATGTCACAGGAGGGAAGAGGAGGAACAAAGGCGTCGTGAAGAGGAAGAGCGAGAGCGTTTACAAAAGGAAGAAGAGAGACGTAGACGAGAGGAGGAAGAGAGACTGAGACGGGAAGAAGAAGAGAGGCGGCGAATAGAGGAGGAAAGGCTCCGGATGGAACAGCAGAAGTGAGTTGTTGGAATACACAAAATTTAAGAAAATTGCTACCCATGCTGTTGGAACGCTTGCCTTTCATTCTGTGCTCGCTTTGGAATAGTTATACCATAAACAAATGCCAAAAGTCTTGGTCAGGAGCAGTCTGTGTGTGGATCAAATATGGCATATGGAGTTCTACAATGAGAACTGCAGCTACGCATCTTACAGAGGTGCAGATTTGCAAACATGGCAGATCCCAGCATGCAGTGCTGCATTTTCAGCAAAATCACTGTGTAGTTTGCCTTAAAAACAAGATTTGGACTATTAAGCATTTAACCCCATGGTAGATGCTTTGCCCTCTTAATTTGACATGGTTGGATCAGTGACTCTACAGAGAGAATGAAGGCAAAAAAGCAGCTGTGGAAAAGGGTGATTCATTCTGGGCTCTGTAGTTTCATGGGCTGCACCTTATGCAAATTTGCAGCTCTTTGGGTCTTGGCAAGTTGCTAATGCTTCCCACAGT